GGTCCCCGTCATCCCTGCTATTCAGAAATCTAGACCAGCTCAGCCTGTGCACAAAGGCCAGAAGAGGACATCACATCCCTAGGAACTGGAGTTACAGATGGTCGTGAGCTGCCATGTGGGTGCTGGGAATTGAATCTGGTCCTCTGGAAGAGCAGCCAGTGCTCTTGACCTCCGAGTCATCTCTCCAGCCCAGCACCAGCTTTTCACATCGGTGTTGGAAGTTCAAACTGGTCCTCACCCTTCAGGGTCTGCACAACTTCATCATTTTAAATTTTTATGATTTTATTTTGACTAGTGTCTCTCTATGTAGGTAGCACTTGGCTAGCCTGGGACTTTTCTGTGTAGTCTAGGCTGACCTTGGACTCAGAGAGATCCTCCTGCTTCTGCCTGAGAGAAAATAAAATTCTGTTAAGAAATTTAAAGCCTCTCAAGAGAATGATTAGAAAGTGTGAACACACCAAATAGTCACACATTATCTGAGGAAGTGTTCTGAGGGCCTTTGCAAAAGAACTAAAATGTGAATCACTCCATGGCTGTAAACTAGAAGCAGAACTGTCAGCTTTTCCAGAGCATCCGTGTTGTGCAGTCTGTCTGCCAAAGAATTGGCACGGGCAGGCTTGACTCTGCATCCTAGAAGAGGCACATCTTTCTGTGAGGTGTGGCATCAACAGAGCGTTGCTGTCTTCTTGCCTTGTGTTTTTGTGGCTGTGCCTGCCAATAAGTAATGGTGTTTTTTGAGACAAGATTTCTTAATTTATCCATACTGACCCCAAAGTCTCGGGCTCAAGCGACCTTTCTGCCATTGCGCCCAGCTGCAATGTTTCCGTGTGATGCCGTTCTTCATTTTGTACTCAGCAGATAGTTAATCTCAGCTAGGATGGTGTGGGAGGTCCTTCTGTATATGTGTTGCTTTTGCTGGTTGATGAATAAAGCTGTTTCAGCCAATGGCTTAGCAGTAAAGCTAGGTGAGAAGTGCAAATAGAGAGTGGGCGGAGTCGAGGAGACACCATAGCTGCCAAAGGGGTAACATGCCTCACTGGTAAGCCACAGCTTTGTGTGCAGCTACACAGATGTGTGGAAATGGGTTAATTCAGTAGTTAGAACTAGCCAATAAGAAAGACATTGGCCAAACAATTGTAGCTGATAATAAGCCTCAGAGTGGTTGTTTGCTAAGTGGCTGTGGGAGCTAAGGGTGTAAAGAAACTCGTGCAGTGGGAGCAGGTGAGGTGGAGGAAAACCTTCTGGCAACACAAAGAGGTAATTAAGCTTTATTCGGCATGTTTGTGTGTGTGCGCACACGCATGCACAAGCACACATGTGCTTGCTCCTGTGTTTGTACGCAGAGCCTCACACACACTAGGGTGAGTACTCAGCTGCTGAGCTGCACCTCAGTGTGCTGCTTTGTTGTGATGCGGAAACGTCAGTGAGTTGATGCTGGCTGCCATCTGAAGTCAGCGAGCTCGGAGAACCTTGACTTTTGAGGAAATAAGCGTTCATGCTAACCAGCTGTTTTTTTGCTGAACAGAGGATGCTTTGTCAAGTGGAACATTACAGGTGTGATTCTAACTAGCCTTGCCTTCTAGCATTTTCTTTTCTTTTCTTTTCTTTTCTTTTCTTTTCTTTTCTATTTTGTTTTGTTTTTGTTTTTCAAGGCAGGGTTTCTCTATAGTTTGGAGCCTGTCCTGGAACTAGCTCTTGTAGACCAGGCTGGCCTCGAACTCACAGAGATCCACCTGCCTCTGCCTCCTGAGTGCTGGGATTAAAGGCGTGCACCACCACCGCCCAGTGCCTACAAGCATTTTTTTAATCATGAAATGGACTTTTTACATTGGAAAAGAAATTGATGCCAAACATTCTCATTACAGAGTAACTGTGGCCCCGATTTCAGACTCAAGGTCTGCTGTTTGAGAATTTTGTAGTTATTATTCTGCAAATAGCCCGAGCTCACTTGGATAGCCTGACATTTTGTGCAGAGGAATATTAAATGTTAGAAATGCGTACTTTCACTTTACGGTCGTGTTAACTCGTGAACGTCCAGATGAGATACTTTATAAGAAGGGTTCTAGGACCAAAGCTAACCCAGACGCAACCAGATTATAAAGTATGCCATAAAACTCTATTTTCCTTTCCTCCTCAGGTTCGCCTCCATTTCCCAGTGTGAGCGCTTTACATCATTAAGATGAGTTGACTCTAGATCTCACTTAATGTTCTTCCTAAGGGATAAGGATGTAGACTTATAAGCAGGACAAGACTAATCGTCTTAGCCTTACACTGCGGGTCCCATAGGTAAGGCCTAGCAAGCCCTCCACACGCCATGATTGGACCTCTCTGACTTGCTCCTTTCCATGGTGGCTCCAGGGTGCTTAGGACGGCTCAGACCTGCAGCGTACCCTGTAAGCCCACAGGGAATAACCGAATAACCGTCCTGTCCACCGCTGGCCACCAGCCATTCGTCTCTAGCTTGTTAGTGTTAGTAATGGGCAGCCCTGGAAGTCCCAAATTGGAGCAATGACATCAGTAATTTTCCTTCAAATGGGATCAAACCAGATTCAGGAGAAAATCTTGAAAAGTGCTTTTTGTGGATTTCGTATTTATACTAATCTGTGTCCTTAATATACTTGTTGATCTGCTTCTCGCATTGCTCTATCTGGCGTATGCAGAAATGTAATTAGGAGATTATTTCAGCGTAGCTGTCCTTTTATTGCCTGTAGTGAGAAGTATTCATCAGGATTAAAATGGGCTTAGAGGTAGACCTGCTGCGTCTAGCATGTAAGGAGAAGGTACTAAAAAGCTCACGTTTGCAGCGAGCAGGGAGTAGACAGCTATTCCCGAAAACTCTGGAAATTCTGTTCCAGAGCCACCTGAAACCCAGCCCCCATTTCCCATGAGATACACAGCTTACAGACAAGCCTTACAGTGTAGATTTGCTTAAGCGTGGTGAAGTGCTCACCGTCTTCTAGTTGAGGGAGAGGAAATTGGGTTTGATTGATAAATAACCTAAATTTTTACCAACTGTGTAGTAGTGAAAATAGTTTTCTCTATATGTAGAAATCTGTCTTAACTGTGCAGTGAAAAATTCCGGGTCCTTAGGCTGTCCAGTTTGCTTGTGAATCAGGTAGTTCTAAGACAGTCGAATCTGTCGTAGTGTACATGACCATGAAGCAAGTTTGCTGGAGAAAACTGATCCCTCCCTTCTAAATGGGTCCTTTAATGTTCAGCTTATCCCTTGAAAATGGCAGTGGCCTCCTTTCTGAATAAATGATATATGCTAATAGTAATAATAGGCTGGATCAGGCAAAGTTAAGTCTGATACACGTGGAATGCGAGTCTCCAGAATTGGTTAACTGGGGGCAGCTGCTTGCATGTCCAAATAATACACAAGTGCTGCCTAAGTAACTTCCTCAGGTTCATAGAATTAGATCACATGGCATTTCCAGAAACAGACTGCGATTTATTAATCTCTCTCTCTTTCTCTCTCTCTCTCTCTCTCTCTCCCTCTCTCCCTCTCTCCCTCTCTCCTTCCCTTCCTCCCTCTTTCTCCCCCATTCCCATTTCTCTCTGACAGATTTAGAAATGGCTGTTGCATATTGGAAGTTAGTATTGTCGGGAAGGTTTAAATTTTTAGATCTTTGGAACACATTTCTGCTGGTAAGTGACTGTTTCTTGCCTTGTGTGCCCAGTCGAGAAGTTTTTCTTATTTAAAATGCTAAGGCCTGGGCCCTACATAGGGGTACACGCCTTTAATCCCACAACTCAGGAGGGTAAGGCAGGTGGATCTCTGTGAGTTTAAGTCTGATCTACATAGTAGGCTCCAGGCCAGCCTGGGCTACGGAGTGAGATTGTGTCTCAAAATAAATAAGTAACCAAATAGATAAATAAAATGCTAAGACTGGGTGTAGGCATCTGATTAAAATACGATTGTAAAGGCGTTCAGACATCAGTCCAGGACTGCACAGATTGACCGCTTGCTGCAGGTGGGAGCTGCTCCGAGGCTCTTCTCTACACAGCCTTGAAGAGCTGCAGGTGGGAGCTGCTCCGAGGCTCTTCTCTACACAGCTGCTTTTTCTAGAATGTTGTCAGCAGCTCTCAGCTGATCTCAGCAGCTCTCAGCCTGCCATCTCCTCTGAGGAACTTCAAGTCCATGAAGTACCAGGACCACACTCGCTGCACACTGCTCTGGACTCTTAGAGTGTGGACCAGATTTTGTCTAGAGGTGTCCTAGTCATCGTATAGGTCTGTAATCTGACAGTGTTCTAAAATCTGTTCTGCCCACACACAAGATGAACAGGAGGCTTCTGTAGGGTGTGATGAGGATGACATTGTGGCTGTGCTGGACCCTGTATCGTGGGACAGCCAGGTTAGTTGTGAGCTATCGGAAATGAGCGGAATGTCCTGGAGCCACAAAAGATGGTCCTGGTGACAGCAGAGATACCCAGACCTTCCACACTGTCACATCCATCAAAAAAGGTCACGCTTCCCACAGCACACCTTGTGACCAGACTGGGTGCACCCCTCCTCTTCTCCACCCCAGCTGGCATGCACCCTGCTCAGCCATGGGCAAGATTGTGACCTTGGGCATATTGCTTCTGTGTGCCTCAGTTTCTCTATCTAGTGATAGCAGTCGAGAGTGTGGCCTGTGGAGGACAAGCCCTGTCTTAGTGGCCGGGGAATGTTCATGTCATATGCCATATTACTTATAGAATGTCAGTGTTGACAAAGCAATGCCCAGTTCCTCCTTTACTCATTTGGTGATACTTGGGATGGAGCCTGCAGCCTCCTGCATGCTAGGCATGTGCTCTACATGTGAACTACATCTCTAGTTCCACTCGTGTTTGAGGCATGGTCTTGCTGAGGTCAAGCAGCCTTGAATTTGGGATCTTCCAATCTAGCCTACTAAGTATCTAGGATTACTGGCCTATTTCACCAGCTTCTCATCTCTTGGTTACACCCAAATTATAGGACATTGTCCAGAGGCCTCCACAGCCATGCGTACAGAAGTAAGAAGGTGCTAGCACATCGTGGAGTCCACAGAGTGTTAGGACGCATGCAGCGCCGCCGATGGGAAGACTGATAAAGATGAGAGTGTCTCCCCAGTAGAAGAGAGGACAGAGCAGCGGAGTTAGATTGCCATGTCAGCTGGCGGGGGAGCAAACTGTAAAAACCACCGACAGTCCAACAGTTGATGTCGTAATATACTATATAAGAATAAAGTTAGTAAATAAACAGGCTTCCAAAATATATATATATATATAAAGGTACAAGACAAGGCCAGGCAAGATGGCTCAGCTGATAAGGGTGTCAGCCACCAAGTCTGATGACTGGAGTTTGATCCCAGAACCCAAATAGTGGAAGGAGAGAACCTACCCCCAGCCCCCCACAAGTTGTCCTCTGACCTTTGCACATGTGTAGAAATAGATAAATGGGAAAAAAATTAACGATAGCATTCACATATAACAAGCATAGAAGCTCTTTATGTTACGTGCATGCATTGGCTGGCGTGTTAGTGTTAAGTTCAAGGGAATGAGTGCTTTTGTAAGCAAGGTGAGAGCTGGCGGATACAGGAGCCACGGAGGCTCAGCTTTGCCTCAGAACTTGCCTTTCTGTGGTACAGTTATCATATTGGTCTCCATGTTTGTGATATACCTGGAATATTGAGTAGCAAAGATATTTTTAGATAATTATCTCATCCCAGTCGAGAAATACTTGATATATAGAAATACAGACGTGAGGAAATAGGATAAGTAGAAATGGGACTCCATATCTTCCTGCATCGTTTCTGAACAGGCTTAGGGGAGTGGTAAGGACTGGCCTTCCCTCTGACCAGACCGGAATGTATAATTTTAATAGTCTAAAGTACATCAGTGCTCTTTATTTGGACTTTGGCACACAACACATCCAGTTGCTCTGAGGGACTATTACTTTTAGTTGTGATAGTTGTGAGTCCTTGCCCCTCGTCACGCTGGGGAGGACCACTTGCTAAGGCAGTGTGCCCCAACCGATCTGAACCTTAACCTGGTGGATGTTTTTCTCTTATGTATTAGGAGCACCACAAACGATCAATTCCCAGGGACACTTGGAACCTCCTCCTAGATTTCGGAAACATGATTGCAGATGACTTGTCTAACTATGATGAAGAAGGTACTATAAGTTGTAGGACTGACTTCACAGGGTTCCCCAGGATGCCTCCTGTGGATGCTAATGGACCACCTCCAGAGTGAGGGCAGACATCACCCCAGAAGGACCACCCACCCACAGGGATAAGATACTGACTTACTTCCTTGTCAGCTTCTAGAGCTGCATAAAACCTGGTTAGGATGACTGGAGATGTGACCACAAGTCTGCATAGTCCCTGTGCCAGAGAACCCCACACTAGAGGAGTAGCACTGGTCCCTGACCAGCCTGGTCCTGGCAGCTGGCCTTCCCTTTACTCTTCATGTCTTGTGACATGTGACCCTGTAGCTGACAGCATCCAGTTCATGTCCTGTCCTTCCCATCTGTGTCCTCTACACGCAGTACAGTGCCCAGCTCATACCAAACGCCAAACGCCTAATGAATGCTTCTTGTATAAAAGAAGGGACAGCTGAATGTAGACAGCTTGGTTCTCAGGAACCATAACTGTCCCTGGTAAAAACAGCTAGCGTGTGAGGCTGCCAGTGCTGCCAGAGGAGCTTTGTGAGCCTGGGTGCCCTGCTCATGGTTGGCTGGGGAGTCGGGTAAGGAGCCAGAGCAAGAATGTCCATGGTGAAGGGTTAATGCTCCTCGGCCCCTAGGAAGCAGCGGGTCCGTTTATTCCCATTCCCAAGCAGCGGGTTCTAACTGCCCATAAATTGGCTGAGGCCTGAGAGGCCACCTTGTAGGCCCAGGCAGTGGGAGTGTGGTCTCAGGCCGTCACCCCCACCACTCTCTGACCCTACCTCCTGAAACAGCAGAACTGAGTCGTTTGATCAGACGCATGTTGCGCAAGCTTCAGATCGTCTGGTTCTTTAGATGACAGAATTGGGGAAAGAATATTTTTCATATAAAAATACTGCTCTAAGACTTATTTTAAAAATCTGTTTGTTTTCCTTCAGGAGCCTGGCCTGTCCTTATAGACGACTTTGTAGAATATGCCCGACCAGTAGTCACAGGTGGGAAGCGCGGCCCTCTCTAAGCGGAAGTCAGCTGTGGAGGATAAGATGACCGGGTCCTGGGTTGCTGTGTGCACTTGTTGCTGACTTCAGAAGTCTTCCTCGTCCATTCATGAAACAAATCCTTACTCCGCTTAAAGGCTGCAGTGGCTGCCACGTAGGAACCGAGAAGCTCCTCAGGAAGTTAGGGACGTGTCATCAGAGCTGTTGCTTCAGGAGCTGCCTGCATGCATGCCTTTACAGAGAGCAGCTTAGAACCTGTGCGCAGGGCTGAGAGCATGCAGTTCAGTTCACGCTGTGAAGGTGAGCGCCAGCGGTTTCCAAAGCCGTGGAATCACGTTGTAATTATGCCTCAAAATAGCATCCATGTCCTCGGAACGGTGTGTCTTTTTACAAGTCCAAGCTGTCAGAAGCAAACCCTGATGAAGACGGCCTTTCCAGAGAGCCTGCTGCTTTTAATCTTGTATTCGAGATGGATAGTTCTGAATTATCAAATCTCTAGATTTACTAGATATCCTGTTTTTATTTTCTGTAGAAGACACTGTTGCAGTTTGCACAGGGATGGCACAGGCTGGAGTCCAGCAGGGCCACTTCACACTGTTTACAAGCTGCCGGGCCTGTTTTACTTCTAATAAGGTTATGATTATTAGGCCTGGATGCTGCCTCCTGAGAAGTTTCTTATTTTTTTAATATATTTTATTATATTTAAAAGGACATTTTTTTCCATGAGAAATACTTCTTTTTGAGTGATGAATTAGATTTACAAATCAATGCACTGGTTCCCTTCACCTGTCTATTATGTCTTCAGTGCCCAGTGTCCAGCCCTTGGATAGCCATATGAATTTGGAAGCAAAAACACACATCATCCGAAAGCGTCTACCCACAAAGCCTCTGTCTCATTTGTCTGCGCCATGTCACTGTCTGCTTTTCTGGTGTTTATCTGCTCAAGACCCCCTCGTGCACACGGGCATGGAGGGCCTGGGTACTGTCCGCTCATCTGGTGTGCACAGGCACGGAGGGCCTGTCCGCTCATCTGGTGTTAAGCTTTGAACATCACTGTGCTGACCCTACCTCACACTTGCCAAGACTTGGTGTCACACGCGTGCCTTGCTGCCCGGCCTACAGCGTGGCTGTGGAGCAGATATGCTGGGCCCACTTCAGGATGGGGAACTGATCAGATGCCTATACGCAGAAAGCATGTCCCGGATATGCAGTCGGGGTGGCTTCTGGTGATGGGACATGCCCCTGATTTAGGAAGCAGCTTGTGTGCCCTACAGTGAGATGGACTATTGACGGTGGATGGGTCTCGCAGAGGCGATGGCGAACTGGACAGGAGGCCAGTCTCCACAGAGCCAACCCTCACTGTGTGAGATGACATCTAGGGACCCGTCTACAGGTCCGCAAAAGGGACAACTGGAGCATCTTTGAGAGTGTACGTAACCAAACTGACTTAACGGAAACTTGGAAAACAAAGCAGCCTTCCAGGCTTTGTGGGTTCCTGACATAGAGTTAACCTCTGTTCGGAGAGATTTATGGGTACAAATAACTAAATTCTGAAGGTCTGCAATACACTATTATTTTTAAGATTTAACATTCTTCAGGAAGACCAGCGATAGGACTCAGCAGGCTAAGGCACATGCTGCCTAGCCTGACAACCCGAGTTCAATCCCTGGGAGCCACATGGTGGGAGAGAACCGACTCCACACATGTGCCATGAAATGCATGTATTCCCCCTACACACATGTACTTACACAACAAATTAAATAAATAAACGTAACTTTAAAGTTTTCAGTTCTATGGGATTGTCAGTAGGCTGCGATGCACTAGGAACCGATAAAGGCTTTTCAAAGACCTGTGCTCTCTGTTCTGTCATTTTCACTTGAACTGTGCATGTTACAGAAATGCTGAATACTTGAGTAATGGTAAATAAAGTATTTTCCCTGGTGTTGTGCTGTCCTTTGTTCTTGGCTGCACAGATTCCTTCCTGTGCACATCAAAGCCCTGGTCTTCGGCTTGGACAAGCGGAAAGGCCCCCAGTAGCAACAGCAAGCAAACCCTTGGCCACACTGCCTGTAACGCCTCACCAGGCAAATGAGTGTATTGGAGGCAGCTTCATTTGTCTGGGTCTCTGTCTCAGGACAATATGCCGGACGTGTGGGACCTGCACATAGGTATACCAGTTGAGCCATAGTTATGTTTAAAACACGTTTGCCAAACACAGCAGGTTTAAGAAATGCATATAATCTGCCCCACTTGGTACCTGCCAGGCATTTCCAGAACAGCCAGCATCATCGCTGTCTAAGTGATGCGGGTGCAGTGTTTGTTAGTTTATGTTCAGTGCGATTTGAACTCCGTGCTCTGGGCACAGAGGGAAGACTCTTCCAGTGCCTGCTGCTGTGTCTAGCATGCTGTAACAGGAGGCCTCTGAACGATTGTCAGATAGACAAACCGGCGAGACAGCCTTATTTTGTTTGGGATTTCGGCCAAATAGTGTGGAAGTTGTTCCCAGACGTCCTTAACCAAGTTCCTCTCCTTGAGTCCTTGGGCATAGCTTAGCTCCGTCTACCTGAAATGGGTGGCTGTCTGTTGCCCGCTCCTTCTGTTTGTCTTATCACGATATACATCCTGGTTTTGAGGGGTTGCTTCTGACTGAGAATTGTGCCCACAGGAAACACAGCATGCTACACACCAAAGTTCTTACCAGTTGTATTTAAGCCCACGTGGCCCCCTGCCCATTCTGGGTATGGCAGACCAGATCACAGGAGGGCCAGCTGGGGTCTGTGCCTGCAGGGTTTGTGCTTGAGAGGGAATAGGGAGGTCACCATCCTTATAGTTCATTTCAAACCAAGAGCCCTGGCTTTATAAAGTGTGCCCTACCCAGCCTCATATTAGTTAATAATTCCATGAGCAGGCAGGATTGTTTACAACATGAAACTTGAGGTGGCATAACCAGATTTCACCGCACTTGCCAAGACATGCACCACTCTAAAGCTGAGCACTGGAGCCCCTGGCTGGACACAAAAATGAGAAATAATATTTCTTCATAAGAGTTAGGAGGGCTGCATCTTCTAAACTTTCCTCTCGTGTCTTTTTTTATGGTGCTGAAGATCCAAGCGAGGGCCTCATGTACACCAGATAATAGCGCTATCATGGTGCCGCTCCCACAGCCCTCCCAATATAATTAGAAAAGTTTTCTAAAAACAAAACTACAATGGATGTATCTCAACATTATTCTGAGTGGAAGAGGGCAGATAAAAGGGGGCCACTAATAATGTATTAGGTGATGGCGCGATGAATGCATTTATTCGAAGATAGGGCAGAGCAGATGGCAAAGACGGAGCAGCAATGTTCACACCGTGACATGCACTTCCTTGCCTGCAGGGGCCGCATACCATCAAGGAGCTGACCCAGTAGCACAGCTCCAGGGCCCCGAGCAGCTGGGGTGTGGACCTGCGCCAGCAGGCTCCCTTGCTGGAGAACCAGTGCCGTCCAAACAGCTCCCACGTGGTGAGCTCAGAGCTTTATCTCATTGGTGCCACCTGCCAAGGCAGAGAAGGAACGCCTGGCCATTTGGAGAGTGCTGGATGGTGATACAATGACCACTATAAATGTCAGCCAGGCTGCCTAAGGGTGGCCAGGAAGGGACAAAGGCAGCTGCAGCCTGAGAGGAGTCACCTTCTAAGATGGAGAAGTTCAAGGCTGCGATGTTGTTGGGGGGTGTCGGTGATGCACTCGGCTATGGGAACGTCTGCAGGGAGAACAGTGCCTTAGGCTCAATCCAGGAGGAGCTGCAAAAGACTGGGGGACTGGACAGCCTTGTGCTGTCACCTGGAAAGTGGCCAGTGAGCGACAACACCATCATGCACATGGCAACCGCCGAGGCCCTCACCACAGGTAGGACTGACAGGCATACTCTGCCCCAGGTGCGCTGGGCTAGAAAGACGGGTGTGTGGCTTCCCGTGTTGATGGCAGACCAGCACCAGGAACTTTGAAGGTGGTGCTTGGCGCCCCATGTTACCTGACACTGCTGCTGAAGCTGGTGATTTAATCTCCACCAGAGACCCGGAGCCTGACAGGCAGGGTCATGTTTCTCCTGTGTGTGTCTTTGGGGACAGCAACGCTTCACAGATGATTAAACTCCAGATTCTAAAGAGCAACTTCCCCTTGTTTCTGTTGTTGCACCACAAGCAAGCCTCTGGGAGCAGCTCTGGGGTCCAAGCATAGGCAAAGGTTCTCGCTATGGAGGATGAAGTATCTTGTTCTAAATATACTACAAAAGAATACGTATCCAGCTTGAAATTTGGACCCATTGAGATAGCACTGTTTGGGGATTGCATCTCTGTTCCAAATAATTAAGGTTAAAATATCCATCCGAGCTATTCAGTTTGGACATTGTTTATGTGTAAGTGTTATAAGAAAGAGTAATTTGGATTCAGGAGAGCAAGTATGTTCAGCTAGGAGCAGGTCAGTGCTAAGATCAACAAGACGTTACATGGATTTCCGAGAATAGTACATACACAAACATAGTGTGTCCTCTCTGTGCAGGGTGTGCTGATATCCTGCAGGTCTGATATGGCATCATTGCAAAATGAAGGTCTGAGGGCAGCAGTTAAGCCAACAGATCTCACTTATGCATTCACTATTCTGCCCATCTGTCGTGAACATGCTCAGCTTAGTTCTGTGGTCATTGTATAGGAATGCCACCAATGTCATGTCTCTAAATAGAACTGAAGCCCGTTGATAAGATATGGAATCACAGCTTGTTGAAATGGTGAAGCATCTTTCTAAGTGTGTATAATTATGGAATCCGAGTATTTATAGATTCTGCTGTCATTGTATAGGAATTTCATCAGCTAGCCCCTAAGTAACTAGGGGAAAAGTAAAGCATCGGTAAGATACAGTATCACCCTATGGGAAGTGGTGAAGCATTGTTTGGGGTTTCAAAAAAATTATTCCTTCTGATATTTTGGTCATACTTTCGTGCCTTTGTGGTCAGTACTACAGCTCAGAGCCCACCACGGTTCACAACCTCAGGAGAGCATGACTTTCCCATCAAAACTGCAGTCAGTACTTTCTCCTGACGTTTGCTCCCCCAGTGCCGTGTAGACGCCTCTGCTCCCCCAGTGCTGTGTAGATGCCTCTGCACAGCCACATCAAGGTCCTTGTCTGTGCTCAGTTCTGATGGGTGTTCTGTGCATGAGTGCAGAGTGCTAGGCCCGTGTCTGTCTCTGGAGCTTCCTCAGAGAGCCCCTGACACAGGCAGGCCCTGTGTAATGGCACAGGGTACTTGGGATTAGATCAATGGACCAAAGTCAACTCAAGATGAAGTGTGCATATTTAGCAAGGTTTGAACCATTTTGCAGTATTGGTTTTTTGGTTTGGTTTGGTTTGGTTTGGTTTGGTTTGGTTTGGTTTGGCTCTGAGGAAGAAGTAAGTTCCCTCCCTGCCAGTCACCAGGAGTACCAAGCATGTGTTGCTATGTTGTGCCCTGTCCTGGCCTCTCATTGTAGGTCATGAGAAAACACTTGTTGAACACCCCCTTAGTCGATCCTCTAGACCAGAGGTTCTCGACCTTGGGTTGTTAACCCCTCTGAAGACCAAATGACCCTTTCACAGGGGTTGCCTAAGACCATCTTGCATATTGGAAATTTATAATATGATTCATAACAATAACAAAATTATAGTAATGGACTAGCAACTAAAATTAATTTTAAGGTTGTGGGTCACCACAACATGAGCAATTGTGTTGAGGGGTAGCAGCATTAGGAAGGCTGGGTGGGAACCATGGCTCTAGACACTAAGCACTTTTTTCCCCTATTCACTTAAACTCAAGGTTTTCACTTGAAACAGCCCAGTTTTTTAACAGCCGTAGCCCACTTTAGGGGCTACTATCTGACTAATGGTAGGCACAACTCTTTGCAGCAGAAGTTCATGAGGAGCTGTCTCACCTGCCTTAACTTCACTGTCCCAAGGCCGTGTCATCTTCACATTCTGAAAGGTGGCTTCAGTGTGTCCTTTCCACGGGTGAGATGGACACATGGCGTGGTTGAGTAACTCGTCCAGTGCTGTGCCGCCATGTGACAGCACAGCCAGGCCACCTGGCCTCAGGCCGTGTTCTTATGGACCCTGCGCACTGCCTGTTTATCGTGGCATTTGGATGCCCTGTAGCCCGCTTCCCAGAGTGGGACCCCTCCTATTTAAACAATTGTCACTCGTGATTCCATCACCCAGCAATGACGATGTGGTCGACAAGCCATGGCTTAGCTGCCACAGTGGCCACAGCCCATTCAGGGGCAGTGTGTGGCATTCAGGACACCAGAGCAGAAACAAAGACAGGGACTTGTCTGACATTCTACAAGGCCTGTCGGTAGTGCTGCCCCTCACTCAGGAGTGCAAAGTTTGGGGTGACTTAATGTCACCAGGTGGACATCTAGTGAGCATGGGCATTCACGCCAGGCTCCGAGTGTGGCTCATCTCACGATCATTTGCTGCTGCTGAGCCTAGGAAATTTGTGGGGTGCTCACATCCCTGCTCCTTAAAACCCTTGTGGCTGTGGGAGTCAAACAGAGCCATAGGGTGAGGTACTCAGTGGTGCAAGGCTACCAGGCTGGGGTCGAGACTCTAGACGATCTTATGCCACTGAGGGTGAGCAATTTTGGCTGATAGTTGACCGCAAGGGCTAATCAGCAAGGCAGGGAGGGGAGGGGGCAGGAAGTGTCTCGGTGTGCAGCCTACAAGGAACCTGAGACCAGCAGAATAAGGGTGCACCAGGCCTGCTCCTTCTCTTCTTCTCAGGGACTCTGACAGCCGAGATAGAGTTAGAGCAGACACAGGTCAGAGCCAGGAGGAGAGAAGGTGGATGCAACCTGTGATTTTACTTCAAGCCCATGGTGTTTTGCTTTATTATTATTATCATCATCATCATCATCATCAAGTCGTTTAAGA